TTCTTTTAAATTGTAATTATCCATTGGCAAGAAAGTTTAGCAAGTTTTATTATTTATATAATTGAAATGACTTGCTATCCTACCAACATGAGATGGTTGTGTTGTGAGAATATTTATAGTTTCTGAATGAAACAGTAAATACTGGTCTTATAAATACGCTTGATATTACTGGTCTTATAAATACACTTGATATTAGTATTTTGTGCTTTATGTGTGTTTTAAATTTTTTGTTTTCAGTGAAAACTCATTGGTGATCATTTGTAATTAAATTGTTTATCAATGCCGGATGCAACTTGGGGTGAAGTGAAGTCTGAATCAGGGTCTGACCTGTTGTTTGAACCTACTTAGATGGTATTCAGTTCCATTCTAGCTAACTCTGGAGTTTGAATCCATGAGATGTCAAAGACATTCGAGTTGAGGCAACAATTGAACATATCCAAGAAGAGATTGGCTTCATTTAAAAGTCAGATGTTCTCTAAACTCATTGTTTCTGAATTGTTTATTTTACCATGTTGCAAAAAAACCCCAAATCCTATGAAATCTGGAGATTTCTACACCTAGAAAATGAGCATTTTGCATTCATATTGCAGAAAGTGTTAAGGTTAAGGTAAAGAGGTTATTTCAGAATTTAAAACATTTTTTTTTACCTTCATCATTGCAATGCTTCTATTCACTGAATCTAGACCTTCTTAATAATTAGTACTCTGATGAAAATACTCTTATGGCCTACCTATCAGAACAAGGAGGAGACTTCAAGAATTGTTTCCAGTCTATTCTGGATAAGGAACAGGTCTTTAAAAGAAGAGACCCTAAACAATGGGTAACTCTAGAATAACAAATATCTTCCTGTACTGTTGTGTTGAAAGAGCTGCTTCCTAAGATGCAACAAAAATTTAAACCTGTTTTGTAAAAATAATTCTCTCTGGTGGAGCACGGTGGCTCACGCCTGCAGTCCCAGCAATTTGGGAGGCAGAAGTATGTGGATCACCTGAGGTCAAGAGTTCAAGACCAGCCTGGCCAACATAAGGAAACCTGTCTCCACTAAAAATACAAAAAAATTAGTTAAACGTAGTGGCAGGTAACTGTAATTCCAGCTACTCAGGAGGCTGAGGCAGGAGAATCGCTTGAACCAGGGAGGTGGAGGTTGCAGTGAGGTGAGATTGTGCCATTGCACTCCAACCTGGGCAACAAGAGTGAAACTCTGTCTCAAAAATAATAATAATAATTTTTTTTCTAACCACCAGGGATGTTCGCAGGGAGTCTCAGCATTGCTTTCTTCCCACTTGGATAATAAAAAGGTCACCTGTTTACTTGTAGACATAAAAAGTAATCAGCTTATTCCTTTATAATGATAGAAGTCAGTTAAAGCTTCTTCATTATCTCTACTTCAGCCGAAATGGAGCCCCCATTTGCACTGGGAAGAACATGATTGTTTCCACGCCTTTCACTTTTCCTCTCCCTCTCTTATTCCTCCAGGGATGAAGCAGGAAAAAGAAGAAGACATAAAGGATAGAAATGACCTTACCTGGCTAATATTATTGTAGTCATCTAGTTGAGCTTTGCCTATACTTAAAGTTCTTAAGGAGGCATTTTTTGAAAGCATTTTGATGGGTCCTTTAGGGATCTTAAGAAGCCATCATTAGGATTGTTTACCTGCAATTCCATTAAAGTAGTAAATGCACTTCCTTCAGATGGTAATTTAGGATTCCCACCTCAGCCCTTGGTCATCTATCACTGTAACTCCAAGTTCTTTTCTTTTTCTGTTTTTTTTGTTTGTTTGTTTGTTTGTTTTTTCACTACTCATCCCAATTTTTTAAGTAACCTTACTAAACAGGATATAACACAATTCTACATGGACTCTAACCTAGGGTCCACAGGTGTCCTTTTTCCTAACAAACCCTAATGCACAAGTGGCTCCTGGCACATCAATATCTCTTTGCTTGACCATTGGGCATCAGCCAAACTCTTTTCCCTTGCAGATTTATCAGGTATAGTCAAATCCTAGTTTTCTGACTTCCTTGACCACTGCCACCCACCAAGTTCCAGAAGACACATATCAATCTTTCTGAGATGTTCCACTAATGTCCCTTTCTCCTTCACTTGAGATAGGGAAAAGTAAACTTCCACCTTGGAGGTATGTGGAAATCACATCCCATCTCAACTGTCTCCAGAAATCCTCTTCTAATTATAAATCTCCTCTTGGCTTTTTCTGCATTTTGATGGACTGGAAGTAGGTAATTAATTAAGGACCCTAAAAGCATTTCTCAATGTTCTCCTTTGCAAGTCTGGCTTGAGTAATTTTATACTTCATTTTGTAAGATGGAAACAGTAATCTGTTTTTGACTTAACTATCTTATCATAACATCTCAGCTGAAACTGAAACAAAAATAATGACTTTACTATTCTGTTATATCCACATATCAGTTGATTGCTATTTATTCCAAAATTATTTTAAGCATACGTTGATTGATACATACACAGAGAACAATACAAGGCCCCTTGGTGATGCTACTGTAGCAGGAGAGATAAAACAGGTATCAAAACAGCTAGATTTACCAAATCTGCTAACTGCAGCTATAGGATGGGATAGCAGTCCTAAACTCAGCCTAATGTAATGATTAAGGACCAGACTCTGGAGCCCAGCTGTGTAGATCTAAATCACAGCTTTTCTCTTTCCAGCAGTGTGACCTTCATCAAGTTGCTTAATCTCCCTGTGCCTTAATTTTCTCATCTGTAAAATGGAGATAAAATAGCATCTCCCTCATGGAACTGTTCTGAAGAATACTAGAGTTAGTATTTATAAATGCTTAGAGCCCTATGTACACGTTTGGTTGTCAGGAAACTCAGAATCCAAGTAGATAGGGTAATTTTTAAAATATTTATTTATTTATTTATTTATTTATTTATTTATTTGAGACGGGGTCTGACCCTGTCACCCAGGGAGGAGTGCAGTGCACAATCATGGCTCACTGCAGCTTCAACATCCTGGGCTCAAGTGATCATCAAACCTCAGCCTCCTGAGTAGCTGGGACTATAGGTGTGTGTCGCCACACCCAGCT